GCCATGCCTGAGGCTCACTGAAGCCAGCAGCTGCTTGTTTGTTAGGATTTGGGAAATTGTGAAGCATGAGCCAAGACCAGCCATTCAAATGAAAAAGTAGCTTGGGTGGGCCTGTAAATTGGGTAGGACAGGGTCTTTGGGGATCTCCAAGGCAGATCAAACAGTGTTAGTAGGTTGGTGGTCTCAGATATGGCACCAGCTTGCCGGCTGTGTGGGGTAAGGGTTTAGAAAAGGTACACTGGCCTCTGCTTGTCTTGATGTCTTTGGTTCCTCTCTATATGCCACTGGTGCCTTTCAAGCTGTTACCCCAGTACTAGGGCTCAGAGGGAGTTAGTCTGAGTAGGTGAGTCCATGTTTGGGTTCTTTAAGAGGAACTGCTTAGGGCTCCAGAAGTTTCTTCCACCAACTCAATTCCTGCTGGCTTTTTCAGCCAGAGTTGTGGGGATTTCCTGGCACTGGAACCCTGGGCTGGGGGGGCCTGGTGTGGGGCTGGGACTCCTTGCCCTGAGATATCCCTCCCAAATTTTAAACTACCACATGTGGGTGTGGGACCAGCTCGTTCCAAATCTGTGCCCCTCCTACCAGTCTGGATGGATGTGGTTGGTTTCTTTAATTCCGTAGTTGTCAGATTTCCATTCAACTTAAATTCTGACAGTTCTTAGTGATGGTTGTTCTATATTTTAGTTGTAATTTAATGTTGTTATGTGAAGAAGTGAGCCATGTCTGCCTACGCCACCATCTTTACCGGATGTCACAAAAGCCATTTCTAATGCTCCCTCCCAAATGTCTGCCCTGACCACTCCAAAGCCTGGACCACCATGTAGTTCAAGAGATTCTTGAGCACAGAGTTTCCTTCTAAATTCCATTAAATGCAATCTTTGGCTCATAGGATGGTCATCATGAATATTCGTTTAACAGATATTGATGGAGGAAGAGAGCAAGGAGATACTACAGAACTGGATGTTTGGATGAAACAACCAGTAGAAGGGGAAAATGGTAACCACTTCCTAATTGTGTCAAAGGCTAATTTATGGGAAGATGGCATATATAAAATACTAATAACATCTTACTCTTATTTTGAGTTTACTATGTACCTGTCTCTGTGCTAAGCCATTTATATGCATTATCTCATTTAATGCTCACAGCAATCCTAAGAGGTAGATATGTTTATTATCTTACTTTATAGATTCAGATACTGAAGTTCAGAGAAGCAAGGCAGCTTCTCCACAATCACACAGCTGAGACATGGCAGAGCTCAGTTGTAAACCCAAGCAAGCTGATTCTAGACTCACACTGCCAAAGCGACTTGAAGCCAACACTGTGTCAGATCCTTATCATGGCTTTTCCTTACCCTCCCCCTCATAGGCCTCCCTGACAACTTGGAGATTTCTCCTAATGTTTCTGGGCAGAAATAAAGCTCTTTGTCCTTCCCTTTTTCCAATCACAGCCTCATTTTTAGAAGTTTGCAGTTCTCCCACCCATCCTCTCTGAGGCGCCTCCCTTACCATCTCTACCTCAGTAATCCAAAGTCCCATGAGCTGGTACAATGTCAGAGAGGAAGACTTGGGGAACTGGAAACACTCAAGGAGACCCTCCTCTGTGGAGGAGTGTCCCTGAGACCCACTCTCTCTCCCACTGACTGCAGTCTAATAGCTCCTCACAGCCTTCTCCAGAAAGCCTCTCTGCATTCTCGAAGCCCAGGACTCTCTGCTGTCTTTTAACCCTACTCCCAGCCTCCTGCTTGTCTCCTCGTCCTTTTGTGTCTCCCAGCACCTTTCTGTAGCTTTCTATTTTGTGTACTGACTAAAGCTAATAGGACAGTCTACAGTTAGGGTCCAAAGACGACCAACCTTTCAACCCTCAGTAAAGTGCTTCGTACAAGATGAACTTCCCATCACCAGACCTGATTTCCATGGTGACACCCCTGGGGATTGTTGCCATGGTAATGCTGAAGAGACACTGGCCACAGTGAACATTACTCCCCTCTCCATTTTCCTTTATGAGACTCCCCCAAAGCTAAGGGGAGAATTGCTTGGTTCCTATCTTCAGATATCATAGGAATCCTCAGCCACCCCAAACAATGCTGACTCTGTTCCAATAATCCTACAGGTCCCAACCTAACTTGATGGTTCCGGGGTTTTGCCTCCTTAAGAACCCACTTAACCACTGGGAGACCCGAAGGAGGTAAAATTTAGTGGCTACTTGGATGAAGGAGGGAATGAGGGACACAGAGAGTAACAGGCAGAAGGGGGGAAGGAAAGACAGAGAAGAGAGAGAGAAAGAAATGTGTGTGTGTCTTTACTGTCACCCTTCCTACATTTAAGAGAGACGCTTAAATGGGTCTGGTGAAAAAGTTATGCTGGATTCTGAGTAACACAAAGAGCCAAACAATACACAGAACACACAGTCAGTGACCTGTCTAGGACCCTTCTACTAAGACTAGAGACATTACTTTGGCTAAGCCCCACCCCCCAGATTCCTGGGACAAGTCAGGGGAGTGAGGGAAGGATAAGGCTCCCAGATCTGTTCCTTCAGCTTATTCTCCTACCCTTTGCCAAGCAGAAAAGGCCCATGGAAATTAGGGAGTCTGAAGCCCAGAGATAGCCACAGTGCTGCAGAGGCACAGAAGAGAGCCGTTAGAGAAAGGAGCAGGGTCTGGCTGCAGAGAGATCACTCTCTCCCACCTTCACTCTTCCCTCACCTTCCCTCACATCTTGAAGCAGTTTCCTTCATTAATGCCTCAGAGAGTTTCCCCACATACTGAGCTGCAAAGGAAGAAAAGGGGAAGGGGGTAGGATCTTCCTTCCTTTGTTGGGCCCCTCAGGGGTCTCCTCAAAAATCACTTATCCTTATAGCCCTCATCCTCCTGAATGACAAATGCATATAGTAAGGCTCAGAAGACAGGCTTCAAGGATGCTGCCTGAGACAAAATGGCCCCCCATAATCATGTATCTTGGAGTGAGAGATTGACAGGAAAGGCTAGGGCAAGGGGAGATACAGAGCAAGACAAAGGTATAGCCCCACAAATATCAGCAAAGCAGACAAGTAAGGGCCAGCTATGGAACTCAGAATCTGAACTGGCAGGGGACCCTGGGCCTCTCCTCATCTCTCTTCCTTTCTCACCTTGCACTGTGTCTCTCCTGTTCAGCTGCACAAATTGGGCAGGTCCATACCACAACTCCTCCCAACATTGCCCCATGCCTCGTGCTCACCACCCCAGGTCTACAGCCCAGAGAGCCTAGAGGAGATGGTTTAGACTTACCTGAAAAACCTATAGCAAAGGAAACTAGGCTTAAAGGTAGAAACCTTTTGTGGGTTTCCTCCCCAATAGCCACCTCCCTCCTGTTTCTCAACCTTTATATCTCAGAGGGACCTCAAGCCCCAACTCTCACAGCTAATGCCTGCTGTCCAGAGTATTCAGACAGGAGACCCCAAGGGATGATCCACTGACCAGACCGCAAGTCCTAAGGTGCTCGAGGCAGAAAGACAGGGCCCTCTCAATGTGGTAAACACACATTCATGAGCACACACACGGTGCCAACACCCATTTGAGTTCACAGTGTGGAAAAGGGAGCTCAGTGTGGTGACAGGCTGAGGCTCCTGGACATGTAAGCAGGTCTCTTCCTAAAGTATGTTTACCCAAAGTCCCATTCTCGCTGATTCAGAAGGCTGGGGCTCCCTCCCCTTCTTTCCTTCATTCCTTTAACAAGCATGACTTGTGCCATGCACGGTTTATCAAAGATACTGAAGAAGTGCTCCTGACCTTGAAGACTGTCCTCCTGTGTGCTCCTCCCTTCTCAAACTGGCTAGTTTCCTGGCCCAGCACCCCTCAAGCCCTATAGACTCCATCCACTCCAGCCCTTTCACTCCTTAGCTTGACAACCCCGACCAACCTAGGAAAGGAAGGGTGGGTGAGGCGTTCCCTAGGAATTCCCTTTGGGCCATTGAAGATAAAGGACAGAAATCTGTGGAGGCAATGTGACACAGAGGAAAAGACATGAGCTTTGGATTCACAGACTTAGGTTCACATCCATGAATTCACAGTGTGACCTTGAGAAAGTCGTCCAACTTCTTTGGGCCTCAATTTCCTCATCTGTAAAATGGATATTAATATCAATACCTACTTCAGAGTGTTGTTTTGAGGATTACATATGTAGAGTAACAAGCACATATTAGTAAACATTAGTTCTCCTTCAAAAGATCTGCTCCATGGGCAGGGGCTGTCACTGTGAGGTAGAGGTGGTTTGCTACTTTTATTGGATCATCAAGAGAAAGGATGAATAAGCAAGTACTTGTTAGGATCTCAGAGTCTGATTATTATTATTTTTTTTTGTTAGGGGGAGTTGGGTGGGTTTGAAATCCTCTTCCTACTACACTTGGGAGGGGAAAGACGGACATTTCCTTAGGATCCCAGAAGCCCCCCCCCCCAAACTAGGTGTGGCATCAATGTATTTCTTTCTCAGAAAACCCTTCATCAGACCCGTGCCTTCCCTCAAAGTCCAGGCTGCAACCACATCAGGGAGAGATGGAGGGCTTGGTTCCAGAGCCGGTTTTCTCTTGTATCTCCACAGAGACCCTGCACTGTCCACCTCAGATCTAGCCCAGCCACTAGTCTTACCCCTCCCTTCCTGGGAGGAGGGGGTAGAGATGTGAGCCAATAACAAAGGGAAGATGTGCTTTCTCTAGGGGAGAGGGAAAACATCAGAAAAACACGGGACTAGCTGTAAGGGGTGGGGACGCTGCAGAGGGCAGCAAAGGGGAGTTGCGCGACCTGATCTCGGGGAAGTAGCCCTCTCCCACTCTGCGGAGACTTGGCTGCGGGCCTGGCCAGACCACACCCAGCCATCCTGGTGCAGGGGAGAGAACGGGATGCGGTGAAAAGGATGGAGGTTGAAAGGCGGGGAGGGGGTGCAGAGTGACAGGCAGGGGATAAGGCTCTGTGAAGGGTAGGATTCAACCCCTGCCCCCTCTCCGAAATCCCCTTCTGGAGCGGCACTCACCCCAATAATGACGCTGTCGTCCCCTTGGAAAATGGGGATGAACTTGTCTCCCCGCAGAACCTCGGCCTGGTTCAGGGGCCGAAATCGGCAGAGCACCTTGATGCTGCATTCGTTGTTGGTCTCCGTCATGGTGGTCGCCGGCGTAGGGCTGGGGCACTTCTTGGACAGCAGAAGTGGTGCGTGCTCCGAAGGCGGGAGCTCAAGGGAGGCCAAGGCGGAGGACAAGTGCTCGGTCTCTGTGGGCACCCTGATGAAGGCTGGGGAGCAGGGCCGGGGCGAGCTTCCTCTCTTCTGCTGCAAAGGGATGCGGGAGACCTAGGCGTCTGATGCTCTCCCGGTGCTCTGCCTCTCCGCCCCTAGCGCTGCAGCGCCGCGCTGCGGGCCTGGGCGGGGCGGCGACCGAGGAGTGGGGCGGGGCTTCCCTCGCGGGGTGGAGGGGGCAAGCCATTCGTCATCCAGGATTGAATGGAGGCACCTTCCTCCCTTCTTGCCTCTTCTCCCTACATCTAACTCTGGAAGATAACCTTGCCTTCACCCCTTCCTTATCCAAGGCACTCAATGCACCCCACCCCCCATCACCCGTATCCCTGACCTGTCGGTCCCCCCTTAAAGACCCCACCCCTCTGGGAGGAAAAAGGGGTCCGCGGTGGGCTTGTAATCTGGGGAAGAAAATCACCAGCACTTCCACCCCCGTTATACTCCAGGGAATCCTCCACTGCTGTCACAATCCTCCCTCCAAATTGGGAGCATACTTGTCATTCCCTCTCCACACACCCCTCTCACAGATTCCCAACCCACTCACTCTTTAAGGGCAGCTGCCTATGCCACTATAGAGGTGGCTGTCCAGGTCCCATTTTTTCAGAGAGGAGTACCAGCAAAGGTTTGGCTATTCCTTTCTCCTCTACATCCAGAGGTGCAGTCTACTATGTCCCCAACATATATGCCAGGGCCTCCGTTTGAAGGTAGACGAACTCCCATTCTGGGCCATCAGAATTCAAAAGCAGATGAGATTTTCATTTTTGCTTCACAGGTTGGGCCTGGGATGAAAGTGGGCTGCAGTAACTTTTTCAAGAGAAAGGGAGTCAGAAAGCAGTGAAGGAGGAGTGATGATGGGGTAGGTAAGGCCAGAAGGACTTTAAGAGTGGACTTCTAGGGCAGACATCTGCATTTGAGTTTTAGGCAGGTTTAAGTACCTATGTAAGTGTGTTTCCTGTCCCAGTTATTACTGGATAGAGGCCTAACACTGCAGCCCCTTTCTCAGGCCTTACTTCTGTTTCTCCCCCTTCCCTGAGGGAAAAAAAAAGCCTGGAGATTTCTTGTCCTTGCTGTCCTTAGGTCAGACTTCTGCTGCATCCTCTGAGAAGAACCATCTAGAAGCTGGCCAAATTGATTTTTCTCCACATCACAGGCCTCTGCTGGCCAACAGACTTAGACTGCAGGAGTTGAGGCTCTAGGCCAAGGGGAGGAGCAGGGTAAGGAAGAAGGGAGGAGGGGATGGAGGTTTTGCCTAGCAATTGTCTAAGGTCAGTTAGACACTATGAGAGAAAGGGAGAATGGACAAAGCCAAAGTGGGTAAGGATGGAGAGTGGGAGGTGGGGAGTAGGACAGGGGGAAGTTTCTCTCATAGAGAAACTGGATGGTGAGAAAATAGATACAACGGTATTCAAATATCAATTTAAAAAAATTTCAAAAGGAGGGAGGCAGAGAATGATGGCCTGGCCAGACAAAACCTAATCACTCAGAACCCAACTGGGAAGATGGTTTCCCAAATTGGGCTTGTACCTCTAACCCCCTTAAATCTTAAGGAAACTGAAGGCAAAGGGTTCAGCATAGGAAACTGGATGGCAAAGCGATAGGACTATGGAAAAAGAGGGATAGAGGCTTGGGGAGGAGCCATACATTCTATGTATGCATAGAATGACAATGAGTTTCAAATTCAGGAAAATGGGCATTTCTCCAGTCACTTGGTCTGTCAACATTTCTAAGTTTTGCAGCATCCTGCAAGCGTAGGGGACATCCTGGGAAACATCCCAACCTCAGGTCCTCAGGGGCTCCAGGGTGGCATCCGTTTGTGGAGAAGTTTCAAAATGCTAGTCCATGGAGGGTCACTGGTCTGAGACCAAAATGTACCGGTAAGCAGCCCCAGCAAAACAAACACGTAGTGCGGTTTTCATAAAGCATAATTTATTAAGTGTCAAAGGATTGTCTTCTATTCTGAGAGTATGTTCTTAAATCATGGCAATAGGAAATAGTAAACTTTCTTTCTTTTAATGTACTTTGCAAAATGAAAAGGTAGCAATACTATGTCTATTCTTACAAAGCTTTGTTGTTGTTTTTATTTTATTGAACCATCAAATCCAAAAGTCTGAAAACTATGACGTGGCTAAGAGCACAGAGGGTGTTCACACATAGAGTCATCACTTACCTGTTTATGAACTGGAGACAGGATTGCCAGATTTGAAGGTAAAAACAAGATAACCAGTTAAATTTGAATTTCACATAAAAAAAACAAATTTTGTGTGTGTGTGTGTGAGAGAGATATTATGTCCCAAATATGATATGGACATACTTTTACAAAAAAAAACCCTATTAGCTATTTATTTGAAATTCAAATTTAACTAGGCATCCTGTATTTTATGAGCCCCCTAAATTGGGATTACTTAACTTGGTCATTCCTTACAACACTACGCCTTTTATTAAAGTTTACGTATTTGGGAATCCTAGCTGTGCCATACATAGCATATCTAGTTGTGTTATTTATATCTAAGCATTTAACTTCTGGGGGTCCAAATTTACTTATCTTAAAAATAGGAATTATAAAAGCTCTGCCACAGACTTGACGTAAAAACTAAAGAAAACAGGTTAGATGAAATAACTCCCCAGGCGCGTTAGTGTCGTCCCCGGCCCAAGCCTTGGCCGGCGAAAACTACATATCCCATAATCCTAGTTAGCATCCCCCCCACCCGCCATTACCTCATTCCCCATCCTAGTTCTCGCCAAGCCGGGCCTCTACAGGGGTGTGGTAGCGCGCTGTTCTCGCGACTGTTGCTTTATCCTGCTCTTGTGCTACTGCTGTCGCGAGACTTCGTGCTCCTCCGCCTCCTCCGCCGCTCCCTTGGCCGCCGCCTTAACCCGAGACCCGGACCCAGCCTCTCCCCTACCCGAGCACCGGCCCCCCAAACCCGTCTCGCCGCCGCCATGGCGGACCCTAAATACGCCGACCTTCCCGGCATTGTGAGTACAGGGCCGGCCTCGGCTCCCCAGGACCGCGCCCCTCACCCCCTAAGGACCCCCAACAGGCATCAACCTGTGACCCCCTCCCGCCTGCAGTCCCTCCTCCGCCCCCGGGGCTCCCACCGCTGCCTCCCGGGCGGGCCGCATCATCTTCAGGACTCCTCCGATCCAACTGGGCCAGGCCATGGGACGGCTTATGAGGCCCCTCTTCCGGCAGTGGCCGGTTTCTCGGCCCAGAAATCGTCTCCGGGCCCTTACCACTTATGCCCGAGTGTTTCTGCCATCCATGTCAACACTACCCATGTCTCCCCAAATCTTCCCATAAGCCCCAACACACGTACCAGGCCACTTAATGATGGCCTTCATCCTGTAAAGGAAGGGTTACTTTGGCAGAACCCTTCTGCTGGATAGAGAACTCTGCCCTCCTGGGAGTGCCCCACCCCAACCACTTAAATCACCTGGCACAGGCCGGCAGGTACCCTTTTGTACTGCCTTGCCTGCATTCTGGGTACTGAGGTCCTGAGTCACTCTCATCCCTGTTCCGGGGTAGTGGTGTACAGGACCTAATCACGGCTAGCCCTTTCCCTACTTCTGACATAAGGATTGCCAAGGACCATTCCCCCTTCAGACTCAGAGCAGCATCCTTGTCATCACTTACACTCATCAGTTACTATCAAGTCCTAGTTGTCCCCACTGTCATTCCTATCTCTCTAAGGTGTGGGAACTGACGTGCAGTTAACTGGGCAGGTGGAAGAGAAGGGACAGGACCCTGATATCACAGCCTGCCTTCTTTGTTAACTATTCAAAGGGAATAGAGTCAGGGGTGTTGGTGGAAGCTGGGTAATAAGGTTGGGTGGTCACTACTTCTACCTGCAGGCCAGGAACGAGCCAGATGTTTATGAAACCAGCGACCTACCTGAGGATGACCAAGCGGAGTTCGATGCGGTAAGACTGTGTGCTGCCTCAGGACTCCTCTGGACTCTGACGTCTCTCCCCTAGGCAGGCCTTTTCTCTTTTCTGGGGAGCCACAGCAATAAGCGGGTATGCCAACCCAGCCTGGGTGGTGTGTAGGTTGCAAGGCCTTGGTGGGCTTGCAGCTACCAATAAGCAATACTAGTAAAGACAGTCAGTGGAATTCCAACTAACAGAACCTGATTCTTGGCCTTTGAAATAAAATTGAAATAGCTCAAAACAGTTAGGTTTGGGGCTAGTGACAGGCCCCAGGGTGCTGGTGTATGGTAATCAATCATGAATTCTGAGCTTTTATAAACTGCTTGAGGTTAAGCCTAGGCCTTCTAATTTTGATAAACTATTTCACTCAATATGTGTTCATTAGTATCCTACCAAGAGCTAAACTTTGAAATATAGAATAGTCAAATATATGACTACCCAGTATCTATTGGGCAAAGAATAAGAAAATGATTTGGAGAGTTTAGGGACCTCCAAAGGTCCCTAAACCTGGTCAGAGCAAAATAAATTTGAGAAAGAACATAAATGTTTGATATCAGCAGAGGAGAGGCCCTGGCATCACTTTCAAATCCAGGGAGAACTCTGAGGAGGAAGGAATTAACTTTGGATACATTTTAATGAGGGGAACCACTTGGCATTGTTTATCAAATTTGTTTATTGTGTTGATTTTTTTTATTGGTGCAATGCATAGGAAGACATGTCCCTGCTCTCAAGGGTTAGGTGGAGTTAGGATACATATAGGAAACACAGAAGAAAAAACAAAATTGAGTGAATGGAAATCAACATAGTAAAAGTTCTGTATGTAAGTGCCAAGGGGGTCAAAGATCTGCTACCCCATAGTGCAGGATGTGTTTTAGAGCTGGGCTAGGGTCCCATGGATGGTGTGAGAGTTCAATAAACTTGTGACCAAGAGTCAGCGGGAACAGGCTTAGTGTGTGTGTCTGTAAGTCCTGTGGCTATGGCTGTGGGGCTGGTTAGTTCTGGAGAATGCTGGTTGCTGGCTTATAATGTATGGCTTGGCGTACTCACTTATTCCTTATTTGATTTCCCCCATGTGGAAATGGTTCCTACTTTGTCATGACACCCACCCTGTCCCCTCTCTCAGTGGTATGTTCCTTGTGGCTTCTGTACTTGCTGGCATGTCAGTCTGTCCCCCAAGCCTGAGT